TTTATTTCTTCTTCTTCTTCTTCTTCTTCTTTTTATCATCATCCTTTAATATAACCTAATCTCTTTTTCATTTTTTTTTTTTACAAGAAATCAAAAAAAAAGATGATTAATTAAAGTTCAAGAGAGAGAAAAAAGAGGATAAGTCCAGCCTCTAATTACTATAATTTAAAAGATCAAACCCAACGGTAACAAAAACAAAAACAATAATAATTATTAATGCTTTTACTATTTCCACCGTTTATACCTTTTTTTTTTACAATTAATAATTCGTATAATTATACATCCCAATATTTACTTGTAAAAGATGATTGTGATTATAGAAATCTGTTAGAGAGCTATTTGTAGTAGCACCAGATTGAGGTAATGGAGGTGATGATGAAGGCGACGTTGAAGTAGGAGGTGATGATGAATTTACAGTTACTATTACACCATTCTGATTGTTATTGCTATCAAGCAAAGGACTATTCGATTGACTATTATTATTACTACTACTGTTGTTGTTGTTGTTGTGATTATTATTATTATTTTGACAATTATTATTAGGAGTCGTTAAATCATTTGTAACGGTGGTAGGTGAAGTAATGGTGTTTATTATATTATTATCGTTATTATTACTACTACTATTATTATTATTACTGTTGTTGTTGTTATTATTATTATTATTATCATCATCGTCGATATATTCATTTGAACTTAAAGAAGTCATTGGAGAAACAGGAGAATGTTGTTGATGTTGATGATGATGTTGAGATTGTGGAGAAACATTATTATGATCTGTTGTAGGGGAATATATTAATTGATGATGATGATGCTGCTGTTGTTGCTGTTGCTGCTGCTGCTGCTGGTGGTGGTGGTGGTGGTGATGGTGGTGAAGATGACGCAGAGTAGGTGATGTAGCAGCAGTAGTAGGTGTAGTGGTGGTAGGTGAAGCATCAGTAGCTTGCATATAATCATAAGATATTTCAGAAGTTGCAGCATTATTAACGGAATCAGCTATCATTATAGATGATGAAGTAGTAATATTAGGTGAGGTACTGGGATGATCAGTTGTGGTGGTGGCAGTTGCAGGACTCCATGATTCATTAACGTTAAAATTAGGAATATTTGAGTGAGCAGAAGCAGCGGATTGAAATTCACCAATTATAGAAGATCCATTAATATTATTGAAATTTTGATGATGATGATGATGGTGATGATGGTGAGAATTTGATGAAGGTATTGTCAAAGCAGTAGGTGATATGGACGAAGGTTGGATTGTAGCAGCAGCAGATTCAGGTGATGAAGACGAAGATGAAGATGACGAGTCATTAATTATTGGTGAAGCAGAAGCATTATCATTAATTAAATTAGCATTTGAATGATGATTATGGTGTTGTTGTTGTTGCTCTTGTTCTTGTTCTTGTTGGTGATGATGATGATGATTTTGATTAGTGAATATTCCAAAAGGTTGTGCAGGGATTCTCGATGAAGGTACAGTTGGGACAGATGGCGATAATGACATTGTAGTTGTTGGCTGTTGAAGTTGTTCTGTTTTTATCATTGTTTTATCAAATCTCATACGTTTTGATGGCATTTCTTGTGATGGTGGTGATGATGGCGATGATGAATTAAAAGCTCTTCCGCATCCTCTTGTTAACTCCTGAAGTAATTGAATTCCTCCTGTATATGATCAATTTGAAGATATAATTATTAATTATCATTATTATCAAACAACAAGTATATCATCACATCTTTTACTCTCTATATATACGAACCATCATGATAAGAAGAACCGGTCATTAGTTGAGTGAGAGCCATTAGATGAGTTTGATGTTTTTGTAGGCCTTCTGTCAAACTTCTAACTTCAGGTAGCAAATCATTCACTATATTATTCATTTGTTTTAAATCTTTTCTCAGATTTTCAGTTATGATAGTTAGATCACTGAGCCTTTTACGCGTCATGATATCAACATCAGATTTATCTAAATTATTATTAGCGGTAGCATTAGATAAAAAATCTATGTAATCTTTTAAAAACAATTAAACAATGTTAATATTTTATAATTAATATAATTAATATTATCGATGTTATGGTATTTACCAATTGATGACAATTGATCTGATGTTGCATTGGTTCCAAATATAGATTGTTGAGATGACGGTATATTATGATTTGATAAAGTTGGGGATGATGTCGTCGTCGTCGTCGTCGTAGAATTGTGTGATAAATTGGTATTGTTGTTGGCGGTAGAATTGGAAGCGTCTGATAAACGCGGTTTTCTTCTTGCAGTTTTTGCAACTTTACGTTTTATATTTGGTAATAGATCTTGTCTACCGCGTCTAAATTGTGAATGTGAAAATACACATGCATGCTTACTACGAACATGTTTTGATTTACGAGCATCTGATACTCGATAAAATCCATAAATCTAAAAATTAAATTTTTTTAAAAAAACTCGTTAATTAATTGGATAATATAAAAACGAATGCAAATACAAGTATAAACACGTATGAAAATAAACGTCTTACATTAAGTTGTCTGACGAACGAAGTAAATTTGCAATGCTTAAAATATTTAGGTAAGACATTAGTAGCAAATTCATCCATGTTACAAATCACAAACACATCACCAGTATCATTCCACGTTAAATATTCTTTATATTCATCACCATCAAGAAGTCTATTGAATTGATTGATTGATTGATTGATTGAGTGATTGATTGATTGATTGAGTGATTTGTTGATTGATTTAAAATTAAAATTTTTAAAAAATCACAAGTGCACAAACAACTTACTGATATAATTTAGCAACAAAAGTAGACACAGTGTCAAGATCATATTTTCCATTTTCTTCTTGGAATAAAGAATCACCACCCTCGGAACAAGTTGATGATAGATGAGAAGAAGAGTTTGAATCAGGATGATAAGTTTGAAATGATAAAACTTCATTTGATTGAGAAGGCATTATGTTTAATAAGTTATTTGCAAGCTGTTTACTTTCAGTTGCCGCTGTCATGACAAATTCTCTTTATTTTAACTGCTTTTATTATTAGATTTTTCTGATTTCACTCAAATTATTATATTGTGATAAGGTTTAATTTCTTTCTTGTGAAAAAAAAAAATGAAAAAGAGATTAGGTTATATTAAAGGATGATGATAAAAAGAAGAAGAAGAAGAAGAAGAAGAAGAAATAAAAGAAAGATATTTTTTCTCGAATATAAATATATAAAATATAAAATTTGTTTAGCAATTATTTTTTCGTTTCTTTTTTAACACGTGTGTATGTTTTTGATTAAAAGTGTAATGAGAGAGTGAACGTGAGATATAATATAATAAAGATGATTTTTTTTCTTTTATGCTTTTATTATTGCTTTGATTAGTGTTAGTTACTCTGACTGTTCTTTATTTGTTTTAAATTGAGTATCTTTAAAAAATCATTATTTTCTGATTCAAAAAAAAAATGATTTAGCAAACACAAAAAATTTAAAAATTTAAAAACGTTCACGAAATGAAAGTGTAAAGGAGGTAAGTAAATAAGTAGTAGAAGCAAAAGAAGAAGGTGGAGACATAAAATAAAAAAGATATATAATAATATAATTATATATAAAGTGTAAAAAAAATTTTTTTTATCAATAATAACAAATAATAATAAAAATGATATATAATTATTAATTATTACTTAAGAGAAGCTCCCCATTTATCAAATATAAAACTTTAGAAAAAATATCATATATATATAATATATATTTATATTATATATTTCTTGAATTCGTTACGTGCGTGAAAAAAATTAAAAAAAAAGAAAACGTTAAAAAATTATTTTTCAAAGAAATTTTGAAAAAATAAGTGTGTGTGTGTGTTTTTTAATTTCACGTAGATAAAAAAATTTTTTTTATTGACTATTGTTGGGCCTTGTATAAAAATGGGGTCGTTATATATGATTTGGTAGTAGGGGCCAAAAAAAAAATTAAAATTAAATATAAAAAAAAAAAAATTTGACAAGAGGAAGGACAGTTTTATTATTTATATATATGAATATATATATAATATTATATTATTTTTTATTTTTATTTTTATTATTAATTATTATTATTATTATTATTATATGCATATAACCACATATAATATTTTGAGTGTATATTAAAATTATTATTACATCTCAATTGTCTATATTATACAAATTATACAGACTGACACCATGATTATATTTGGATTTTTTAAAGTGCGGGGCATTTTTTTTGATGTTTTCTATTATTTAAATAATAATAATCATAGTCATTATCGGTTTCTTTTAATAATGATCTTGTGTGTAGTTAGTAGTAGATGTATTGTTGGTTGAAAAGAAGAAGGATTATTGTATGTGTAAACTTGTAGATGCAGTTAGTTGGTTAGGTTAGTTTCACAGCTTCATGATTACATATATAATATATTTGGCATATTTGGCATATACATACATATATACATACATACATACACACATATTTACTACATAAAGTGTATATATATATATTGGGGGAAGTATGCTTTATTTGGCATCATAAAAAGAGCCAGAGTATATAAGAGAACAATAGATTTTCGAGTGATGAAAATGGCAAAAAGAAGATTTGGGCAATTAAAAAAGAAAATCATCAAAAAAGATATTAATAAACCATAAAAGTCAATTTTAAACGCAAATCATGTAAATGAAAATAATGATGGATGGGAAAATATGACAGGGGAGTATGGTAAATAGATGGTAACTCGCATAAAAAAACATATATATAGCAAAATAAATAGCAGAATAATTTGTTCATATGTTGCTGAATCAGCTTGTTCAATGCAGTTGTAAATTTTTTTACCAAGTTTAGTGAATTATTTTTTTTTATTTTTAATTTTTTTCTCGAGTATTTTTTCATTCATTGATGATGATGATGATTCATCGTCATATATAAAATACAATTATTATTAATTGCTCTAAAAATAATGAAAAATTCCCGCCTTTTTTATTAATATTTACTATTTAAATTTAAATTTTTTTAAATAAATTTTGATTTGAGAAAAAAAATAATTAATAATAAAAATAATAAAAAATAATAAAAATAATAATAATAATAATAATAATAATAATAATAATAATGCATAATAATATTATGCATTTTTATATATTTATATTAATAATAAAATTAGGTTTAGTTTGGCCGCGTGTTAACATTTTTTTATAAGATCTTCCTTCCTCAACTGATGTGCATAGAAAAATTTTTTTTTTAAAATTAAATTTTATATGAATTATGAATTATATTATATGTAGAATGAGATAATACCGCGCGGGGTCGATGATAAAGGCGTTTGGGCTAATTAGAAGTGTGGAGGAAATAATGGTTTGATGGATGATGGGATGATTTTGAAATTAACAATACAATACAATATATATATATATATTATATATCAAAGGAATAAATCAAGAATATTGTCTTAACACAAAGGGATTTATTTGCGAGAACGAAAAACTGGGGCAAATTAAATAAACAATTATGGCCAATTTATTTGGACGATTAAATCAGATCAAATTCAAATTCAAAACCCAGCAATAAAAAAGAAAGCTTATTAAAGATTCTTTGTCTCGAATAATAATATAAGAAATAAATTGTGTGCATATGTGTTTGTAATCATAAACCGGCATAAATGATTATATAAATTGAATAATGTCAAATTAATTAATTTAAAAATAACAAAGAACTTATAAATAAACAAATTTTATTTATTTTTATTTTTTATTTATTTTCGAATTTTTCAAAAATTATTAATCAACAATCATTCACTTCATTGTTTTACTATAATTGTTATTTCGGATTATACAATAATCTCGTTATAGAATTAATTATTCTTCAATGTCAACACTATAAACTCTGAATTATATTCAATAAATGGATTTTGATCAAATATTTAAATTTACCAGATTAGGATTAATATTTAATTGATTTAATATTTAATTGATTTAATATTTAATTGATTTTTTAAATATTTAATTGATTTAATCATATTTGATGTTAAAACAATAATAGTAAGTAAATAAATCCTAATTGAGTGTATTTTTAGAACTTACAAGCTGACAGTAACAATATAAATGCTTTCTTTTTTTTTGACTTTTTGGCGGTTTCTTTTTTTCGACTAACCAACTAACGCTAAACAAACAAACAAACAAACAAACGACTGACCGATCGACCGACCGACCGGCCAGTCAACCAACTGACCGACCAAATGACTCAATTAATATTAATATTTAATTAATCATTATAAAGTGTTCATTTATCCGCCCCGTTCTTTTACCATTTTGTCCACTGTCCACATGCTTAATTAATATTTCGATTGGTTACACGATTTACGTCATGAATGATTTTCATCCCTTTTAAAAATTAATTTACCTTTTAAAGTCGATTTCAATATTTGCCACTTAGAAAACTTGCACTCGTTCACTCGCCCATTTATTTGTCTAAATGGAACCATTTTAATGTACAATGTAATCAATGCATTATCATAATAAAGCATTTGCGTGTTATTTTCTTTAAATATTAATATTTTGCCACTAAAACTAACTATATCAGGCATGTATCAATTAGATGTGTACTGTGTTATGTGTATGTGTTTATATTTGTGAATAATTGGTTGGATTTCGATGTATTTGGGTATTATATACAATGGTAAGCGAACAAAAAAAAATCTCCGATAATTGTACCATTGTTTTAATACCTGATATCAGATAAAAAGATAAAGCCCAATTTCATTCGTCGAGAATTACTATGGTTTTTTGTTTTTTGTGTTGCAAATATATTTTGTGTTGTTATTGATATTAAGCATGTGCAAAATAAACAATGATATATGATTTGTTTGGCTTGGTTTTGATGACGGTACTCGCTTGTTCCTCGCTCGCTCTCTTTCTTTCTTTAAACTATTTTGTGTGTGTGTGTGTGTATGTGTGTGTGTATGTGTGTGTGTGTGTGTGTATGTGTGTGTGTGTGTGTGTGTACGTATGCTCACATTTTTGTTACAAATAAATAATTGGAGAAGATGGAATGGCTTATTGTTAGTTGATTTGTTGAAATTTGACCAACAAATAATAAAAAATAAGTTTGAGATGGCGTAAAAATAAAATAAAATAAAATAAAAATTTCGATAAAAATTTGGGAATATACCGTTTTTAAAGTTTTTTTTTGTATTTAAAAATGTGTTTATTTTTTGTTTTTTAATTTTAAAGTAACATTTCATCTGATTGGTCAGTTATAGAGTAATCTCCCGATTTAAAAATAAAATTGATAAAAGACTTGCCGGTTCCCAATGCTATGCTATTGATTATTGTTTATTTGTACGTGCAAATAAATATTGTTCTAACTTATCATTGTTATTATTGTTTCTTAAAACCTACTTACTGTTCTACTAATTCTACTAATACTATCCAGCCAATTACTGATTAGACCAATTAATTAATTAACCGCAATTTGGCTATATGGACATCACGTCCCCAAACTATGTTGTGAATTGGAAAACCTTTTTTTTTTTTGGATATATAGTTTCAATGCCTTCAAGGAATAATTGATTGATTTAATAAGTAATGTTGATTTATAGTCATATTTAATGCAAAAAAAAACAAAACAAAAATCCAATAGCAGCAGGATTATCATGGTGTTTTCCCCCAACTACTTATTTATATAATAAGAATAATAGAAACCTTCAGGGCGATGGAATAATAAATAAATATAATTTATCGTTTCGCATTACTATTAATTAAAAGGATCGTCGTTACTAATTTTAGTAAATATGTTATATATTAATATAGACCAATTACGCCGTCCGTGCCGAGTAAAAAAAACTGCATCACGTACCCCACTATCTATCTATCTATCTAAAAGTTTAGCTTAACGTAAAAGAGGATGTGTGTCAATATCATTTTTATTCGTTAAAGTCGAAAAGCTACTACAGAGGCTAGATATGTATGCGTGTGTGTGCTTTCAAAGTTGGTCATCACTAGTTGGTTGACATTGAGTATATAGATATCATCGCACACGACTATTATTGCCAAAAATAATCAACAATTACAAATAACGTGATACATGAAACTTGGTGGGACAAAAGAATTATTGTTTTTCAAATTTGTTATTAGAGAGAGTTCTAATGTACCTGACTGAAGACATTATCAATGACATTATTTGATCAAATAAAAATCTTCAAAGACACTCGCTCATTCTTTTATTTATCACAGAAAATAAATTTTAAACATAATCTATCTACTGCCTATTCGTTTTTTTTTATTATCACTCACTCACCTCACTACATTAAAATGTTACATTAAATAAATAATTTTACTTTCTTAAAAACACAAAGAATTAAACCCCCCCCCGAGAAAATCTTTTTTGCACATATTTATGTATTTAACATTCATTATATTTGGATTAATAATATCAAGACAATATATCAATCAAAATAAAGATTATTAAATTTTTAAACATGTCATATAACAGATGTCCAAAAAAAAATTCGACATATATATTATGTAATATAATATCATATATATATATATATACACACAGAATATATTGTGAATTTAATTGAAAAAAAATATTTTCAATGAAAAGTAATTACATGCCAATTGATAAATGCTATAATATTTAATTGTTGTTGTCGTCGTCATTGTAAGTTTTTTTTTTTTTAAAAAAAAAAAAACCAAGAATAATAAATTATCTTGATTTACGACATTCAACTTCTCCGCCACCAGCAATTACACCAACACGGAAATTAGCCATCAAATTTCTAGCTGCATTAGAATGATCATAAATACCACCGTTAAACGCTGTTGTCATATCTTTGCCTATTGAAGTGGCAATTATTGATTTTCCACCTGGATGTTCCTCGATAAAATCGGTCACATCAATAATTATACCTTCTATCAATATCAATTTATTATTTTTTGCACTTTCTTTGACTTTTTATTTAAAAAATCAAGTTATTAATTAAATCGTAGTAATAATAATAAATACACACACATATATATATACACACACATCACTTACATTCATCAAAAGTATAAACGGGTAATTGACTTAGTGGAATACCCCAATATAAATCTTTCTTTGCATCATCCAATTTCTTTTGTTTCATTAATAATATACCTTTCTTGATTTCATTATCAGGGAATTTTTTTAGGTGATGAGTCAATTTAAAATAAGATAAGAATCTTATTAACCATTTGGTAGGATCATATTGGTAGAATTTAATCGCATTACGATAATCCATTGGGAATTCATGGTGGAAATTGTGATATCCTTCACCTAAAGTAAAAATGGCTGTCAAGAAATGATCACGTGGCGTACGTCGATCATCAAATGGTGCATCTCCCAAAAAATGGGCTAGTGAGTTGACGCAAAATGTTGCGTGATGTACAACAACTAAACGAAGAACTGCTGCAAAATAAAAGCCACCCTAACACAATATATATATAAATATAAATACATGATGATGTATAAAATTTCATTTTTTATTTTATTATACATACCCACCAATCGCCCCAGCCTAAGCCAGCAACCAAAGTAGGTAATAGGAAACCCATACCAAGAGCAAAATAGAGGAAGTTACGATGTTGAAATCTTAATAGTGGATCAGAATTGAGGTCAGAGATGTCGGCTTTGCCAATGGTATTGGGATTTTGTTTTAAAAGCATCCAACCTATATGCGAATATAGTAAGCCTTTGTGTGCGCTATATGGATCTTTTTCAGTATCGGTATAACGATGATGAGCCCGATGATCTCTACACCACCAACGTACGGATCCCTCGACAGCACCAGATGCACCAAATAACAAAAATATTTCAAGTGGACGCGAAGCTTTATAAGCTCGATGAGCCCATAGTCTATGATGTCCTGTTAATAATTAATTTAGTTAATAATGATGATGATAATAATATAATAATAAGTATAGAGAATTTTACCAGCAGTAATTCCTAAGCCAGTTATGAAATAATAAATTATACTCCAAATGGCAGTATTGTATTGGATGGGAGTAGTGTATAAACCATATAAACCAATCAAAGGTGTTAAAGTCAATAAAGGAGCGTGCAACCAATTTATGTGACGATACCAATTATTCCATGTGATAGGTTCGTCTCTAATGTGATGGTTTTTAATTATATTGTTATTATTGTTAACGTTATTATTACTGTCTGATAATGATGATTTTGTAAAATTTGACGATTCTTTAAGTTTAATCTTGTTCAGAAAATTTGTTGAAGATATTGTTGTGGTTGTGGTTGTGGTTGTGGTGGTAGGAGTTGTGAATGTCATATTTTTTGTAGAGTTAGCGGAAACGAAATGACAAAATATTATGTTAAATTTTTATTCGTTTTGTATATATATATAAAAATAAAAATTGCAAAAGCAAAAATGTTTAAAACGATGATGAGATGATGATGTATTTATGATGTAAATAAATTTTGATATTAATCAATGAAAAAAATTGATAATTTTTATTTAATTTTATCTATTAATGTTAAACTACTACATAATTAATTATTATAATAAACTCAGTCAAAAATCTTGGGGAAAGAAGAATGAAAAAAAATTACAATTTTTGGGGATTCATTCATAACAATTAAAGATGGATTAATTCATTTTGTTTTGATCTACAAAACATTTCTTGTTTGTCACGAGTAAAAAAAATTTTTAATTGGGGCAACATATAAATAATTAATTTAGTAGACAATTAAATAGTAATTTAAAATCCCCCAAAACGTAAATTAATTAAAATCTTTTCATGTGGGAATGCTTGCAAACACAAAAAACATTTTTAGATCAAAGAAAATTAAGAAACGTCCCAAATATAATATTTGATAAACATGTTCACAAATAAGTGTCTCCAAGCAAAGTTTATGGGGTTCAAATTCTGGCGCCATTTTTGTTGGAATGAGAGAGGTAAAATAAATACCACAGCTGATGTCAAGATATCACATGGGAGGAGTTTTGTTATATCTGGTCTGGGACATACTGCAACAAAACTAAACGTTATGTCACAAAGAAATTTCAACTTAATTGATCTTATTACCAAAAATGTTGCTTGATACACCATACAATAGATGTCACACATTCAAGGAACAAATCTTATTTACATCAGAAATAATGAATGTATTTGATAATCTCACCTCGTGTTGTTATAAAAACCAATCCATTCATTTTCAAGTAAAAAATCGAAACTATAATAAACCTTTTCAATAATGTCAACGCAAATAACACAAATTTATATACTTTTACCACTGAATTCTGTTATGGATTATTGATTGGAGCTTTTTGCTTCATTATAACACTTAAAAAAAAACCACATCTATAACATAGATCAAATTGATAAAATAGTTAATAGAATAAATTAAAATCAACGGTGACCAAAAATATTACTCAGAGGATATCAAAAAACTGTGGAAAGATTTTAAACAATTATAAGACTGAGGAAGATCAATGTCTTCATTTAATAAAATGGTAATTGAAATTTGTAATTACCTGGAAGAGTAAAGGAATCGCTGCACCCGTCATAAAAAACTTCTACCAATGAAAACTAACCCTAGAAAATCAACTATAAAAGCAATTCAGGAATTGGTTGATAAAGAATAAGGTGATGGAGTAAAGAAATGACGATGATATTAATATTAATATTATTGACAATAATAATAATATAATAATCATCAATGAGAGTATTTTCATCCCCATACAATTGCTCTGGTGGTTTTTTACTTATATTTTAATATATAATTGTGTTATCTTTTCATTATTGTTTGATCCTTTCCATCTTTGTCTCCATATATTGTGTCATATCTGTATGTAATACATTTGATGTTCCAAGTTTCCAAAATTAATAATAATTATTATAATATCCCTTACACATTTCCTTTGCTAAGTTAGCATGTGACAAAATTGAACACCGATCTTTTTAATATAAGAGACTGAAATAAACTGGTCACAAGTAAATAAAAAGTATATTTATTTACAATTATCAAGTGTGCGAAGCACAGTCAAATATAATTAAATGTGTGTCGTAACGAATTTTTGCAATCGACTGGTAATTTTTGTTATAACAGTAATTTTCATATTATATCAAGATCCGTTATGACGAGGTTTGACTGTACAAGAAGAGGCAGTAAGCGAGATCTAAGTAAATTCGTAAATTAATTACAGTACACTCTCACTATAACGGCCCTTCTGTTTTGGCAAAAAAAGGGAGAGAGAATTTGCAGATCATAATCATGTGATCAATTCATAATGTATTAAAAAAAAATTAAATCATTTATTCAATATTAAGAAAGCTATCTAATGTTGATGTGAATCAAAATTGAATTCGTTCTCACTTAATTGCAACTTTCCGAATTGTTGCTCAATGTAAGCATCTAATGTTTTCATTGCTGACAAAGCTTCTTTATTTGTAGATGGAAATTCTTCAATTATTTGGGGGGTTTTCCAGCAAAAACCGGTCACGAAAAACCGATTTTGGCCCCTAAAATTTGTTTACAAAAAAATTTAAAAATTTAAATTTTTTATTGTATTCTAGTTGAATAATCTTTTAACTAGATTGCTTGAAGCTTGTTAATATTACCATTTTTTTAATCTTAGTTTGTCATAAGTTTTTTTTTTAAAAAATTTCGTGCAACTTAGAAAAATGGGTGTGTAGATCATCCCGAATTCAAGCAGGAGGAGATTTCATCACCTCACTGTTCCTTTTTTTATTAAGTAAACATGATATTTCACCAATAATCCTCATGATATAAATGCAAAAGACTCAATTTTGGTCAGGAAGCCCTGTGACTGGAAAACCCCCATTTCTTCTTGATTTTGGTCTTCCTCAGTTAGATTAATTATTGAAATTATGTCTTGTAAATTTATTTCATCATTTTCGTTAGTTTTGTCATTCAATGTATTCCGGATAATGAAGTAATAATGATATATGTATTAAATAATGTTGAAAATATGAAATAATTTCGACAGATGTATTGCCATTATAATAATAGGGAATTGTTATTCGCACCCCCATTTTTGCTATTCGTACCCGTGACTAAGAACAAAGATGAACCAATAAAATCATCACATTTTAAAGCCATTTATTGACCACATTACTACACTTAGTCACGGGAGAGGTGCGAATAACAATTCTCTGAACATATTGTAACAATCCTAATACAGTCAAATCTCGATAAACCGAACTACCATAAACCGATTTTCGCTTTATAACGATGCAAAATTGGCTAACTAAA